TTGTTTGCTAGCTTTTGGAAACTTTGGAGACATTCAAGTATGTATCAGACCCAAACAATAACTTTTTAATGCCTGGAGTTCATGGTTATTTATTAGTAAGCCGGCAGGAAAGATAGGCTGTGAGATGTTGTAGTCCAATTTCCTGTTGCACAGTTTCTTTAACCTCTTAATAAATCTTAGAACTGTATGGGTTAAAGAACACTGCAGAAAACATAGCATCTTGTACATTGAGGGCACACAGTTTTTGAGAGCCCAAAATTTAGAAAGAGAAAAGCTCAGATGAGCTCTGTGCTGCCCGGTCACTCTGAAATCAAGACATTCTTTAACTTCTCACAGCTAATTTTTCCTCCTTAGATGTAAGTATGTGCATTTAACAAAGGATATACAAAGATTTCACAGGACTGTAGTGAGAATTAATACAGAATGTATAGAACACACTTCAAAAATTAACACCATCATTAAATAGTGAACAAATGACTAGGCAATGCATTTAGGCTTCGGTATAGCATGATCAGGTGCAGCCTTTATTTCCAGGCATATTCAGTCATAGTTTTTAATTATTTAAAGGCAATCTTGTTATTTAAGAAACAAAGCCCCAAACAAAACAAAACAAAAAACAAAGCAAAACAAAACAAAGAAAAACTCAACTCTTTATCAAAGGCCTTTGATTTGCAGAGCCAGATACACTATACCCCTCATGGGTCATAATTCATACCAGATTGCACCTCATAAAAGCATCATTTTTTGCAGGCAAGGGGAGCACATTCACACTCACGTTCTGCTGCAGCCAGTTAAAACAGAAGCATTCTCCTCTCTGCATTCACAAAACTCAGTAGATGTTCTGTGAGGCTGTAATTACTCTTGGGCGATGTGAACGGTACCCATGCTTGGCAAGGTGTGGTGAGTTTGGCAGGGAAGTTTAATTTCCGTAACATTGTCTCCAGCTCAGGAAGTGGCTCAGGTGACTGGTATGGGTAAGTGGCTGCCAGTTTTTCGGGCACGGGCTTGCTACCCCTGGGTGACATCATTTGACTGAATTCTTTACTCTGTTTGCCTCATAGAAGCCTCTGAATTCAATTAGTCTCCATTTTTTCTCAAACACCTCATGTGATCCCCAGTATGTCTGTTCTCCCAAAAGCCTAATATGGAAGGCCTTGGATTCATGTGGTGAACCTCCTCGCCCATTAAAATAGCAGAAGCATTTACTCATGCACATGTCAAAACCACTGTATAATGGGAGGACGTCTTTTATTGGAGCATCATTATTACCTGGCATCATGGACTATAACTTGCCTACAACGTTGCAGCAAAAGAACTCATCCAGTTCATCCGTACCATATGAAATCTGTTTATCCCCAAATCTAAGAACTATCTGAGATCAAGGAAAATCAACTGTAAATTTTACGTGTTCTTTTGAAACTTTTCTCTAATTTGAACTAAACAGAGACAACAAACTCCTGCCCAGGTGGAGCTTGTTATTTTTGTGAGCTAAATTTTTTTCCTGTTAACCTAGCTCAGAGGCTGCACTGATTCATTAATCAGCCCAAGTATGCTAAATTATAGTAAATCCAAAGGATATTATCTCCTGAAATACAAATTAGCATACAAAATTCCAAAACGTTTGCAGGGAAGTCTTTTCACTGATGTTTCTGGCCCACTAATGGTAAACCTTATTGCATTTAAAATTCCTTTTAGGCAAAACCATAGTAATCCTGCTTAAAAGCTAGTTAGGTTAGGTGACATGGTATATTTTCCTGGCCTTTGTATCCTGTGTTATACATACAACTACACATTTCCTGAACTGCCTCTGTCATCATTTTGAGGGTAATAGGCACTTAGGATGTTTGCGAAATATTTATTTCTGATATAGTTTTACTGATTCTGCTGAGGCTTATAATTTTAGCTAGAATGTGGCACTTACTGAAGTCTGAGATTCATAGTTTGACGTCTTCAATACAAGTGAATCATATCCCATACATTCATCAACTTCTTAAATGTTTTAAGCAAATACTCCATGGATGAAAGAGAAGAAGGCAAGGAAGACAGACAGAACTGGTGGGGAATGCCTTTCAATTTCCTCCTAAGGGATGTGAGAGCTGAGGACCTACTTCTCTTACTTAGTGTCTGTTTTAAGAGCAGCAAATGGAGAAGTCTGGGAAAAGACAGCTGGTGGTGAGCAGCCTGAACCAGAACCTAGCAGCCCATCGGAAGGTAGACTTGGGGCCTCAGCCACTTCCTAAAAAATAGTTCAGAAAGTGAAGGCAGGCAGAACTGAGCCAATAGGTTACAAGTCACTGATATATCTCTAAGCCTTCCTGCATTATTAACTCAAAACACATCAAGGCACAGCTGTGTGGTGCCCCAGGAAAGCCCCAGGTATATGTTAAGCTTGCCAAAAGATGACCCAAATATTCGGTCACATCCTGGGCTTTATAATACTTTAACGTTTAATCAGACCACTGAAAGCTGGAATGTTGTCAGTATGTTCCTAATGCATAATTTTAGCTGAATGCCTGTTGTCAGTAAAGGTGAAATTCTTTTTCTTTTTTTATTTTAATGAACATTGCAGAAGGGATAATGTATCTGAAACCTTACCTAAAGCACAGTGAGTGAAAGGATGATCAGACCATCTTAAAGTGAAAAGAAAATTCAAAAACCACTATGTAAAAAGAGAAATAACACCCAAGATTCATAGTTGAGCTGAATACTTTGTTTCAAGATATTCAGTCTATTACATTTGCTAACTCTTCAAATGACTGAATATTAGCCATGTAGCCATATTACTCTATGAATGCCACATAATTATTTGGCTTATTTAAAGCACAGTAAGCCAACAATTCTGCAACACAGGATATGAAATCATTCACAATGAGAATATTTCTGAAGTATATCGTAATTATAGATTGAAGAGGAACACCATGGTAAAATGAAACAACTGGAGCCACAAAAACACTGAGCACACATTTAAGAGTCCAAAGCGATTTTCTTCCTCTTTCATTTTCAGATTTTCATTTGACTTAATAAGCAGACAAAATTAAAATGATAGGGTTAGAAAATAAACACATAGGAAAATGAAACTCCAAGAAGGGTTGTCGAAGCCACCATGAACTTCTCAGGAAACTACACACTACAGAGACATGAAAGGACACACCCAGAGTGGCCAAGATGGTGCCTGGGACACAGTGGCTGTCACTCCATGGCTCAAGTGGCCACACTGCTACACGTTACCTTGCTGGTCGAGGGCAGATGGCCGCACTGCAGAAAGTGCCACTGTGTTGTTCCCTCAGCAACCTAACCAGACTCTTCCTCTGGAATTACTTTCCCAGAGAAGCGAGTCTTCAGGATTTTAAACAGGATTTACCCTTAAAAATGTTCCTGAACTTGTGATCAGTGTTCTCAATTTGACTTTACCAGATTTGCCATCTGTGCTTAAGCTCTCGGAAAATTCTGCTGTTGTCCCGGGTGCACATTTTCCAGTGGTAACATCACTACCCTCCCCCTCACCGCCACATCTTGAAGGATGCTTGACGTGCTGGAAAGAAAATCACACTTGGACTCAGGAGATTCAAGACCTGCAATAACAGCACCTTGGGAAAGTCGTTTTTTCTTTTTTCTTTTTGGTCTTTTTGAGACAAGGTCTCGATATGCAGCTCAGACTGGCCTTGAGCTCACTTTGTAGCCCAGGCTGGTCTAGAACTCGGAACGATCCTCCTGCCTCAGCCTCCCGAGTGCTGGGATTACAGGCGTGCGCCACCACGCCCAGCTGGGAAAGTCATTCCTATATGCATTATTAAAAGAAAAGCCTGTACAGCAGAAGTATATACCTGTTGTAGCCAGCTCTCCTACTAGGAAGTGTAAATGTCCTACTGCTTTTAAATGAATGAGAACTTGGCCATCACATACAACACTGGATTTGCTGGGGATGTAGCTCAGTGGTAGAGTGTTGCTTAGCATACACAAAACCCTGGCTTCCATCCCAGTACTGAAAAAAAAAAAAACCAACATCAAAACATAGCATTTTGTATGTCTCAACCTTAACATACTTGGGATGGGTCTAAATTCAGGCTTTAAAAAATCTTTTAATGTAAAGTAATTCTAAATAACTTTTCCACGTGATTCTCCCAACTATATTCATTTGTATGCTAAGGCAAAGGAATTGACCCAAGTTAAAAGTCTGGCAGCTTCACACATCTGGTAGTTTCCTGAGCATCTACCACATGCTGTTGAACAGTTCTGGAAAGGCAGAAGATGAACTGATATTAAACAGTATAATTTTCTATGTTTGCATACCGTGTATAAAGAAGGGCCAAGGAATGCGTGGGCTTGGACAGCTGCCGTCGTATCCTTAGATGCTTCTTCTGCCCTTCAAAGAGATTTCAGTACCACTCTGTGTTGGAAATGATAGCTTCCCTTTGAAAAAGTGAGATTCAATTCCTTATCTACTGTTCCTGGGTATCTTACAGTCACTTGCCTGGATAGATTTCTAGCTGCTCGTGTGGACAGTATGTGCTCCCACAGCCCGTGTTATGTAACAAAATGGTATGATGTACGGAAGTACGGAGTACATGTGGATTCATTTTGTCTCATAATAGGAACCAAAAATAGATCTTGAGAAATCCACATGTCACCTTCCCTACAAATACATCCACTTTTAGTTATGAAGACAAGTAAAAAACGAGGTTTTACCAAGAAAAACCACAAGTCTTTCTAACTCCAGTTTTAAATCAATTCATTTGCGGTTTTACTGGGATATGCTATATTCTGTCACTGGGCTGATTTTTGCAGACTCTTGCACAGCTTAGTGAAGTAACAAAAGTTAATTTTATTCAGCTTTCAAAAACAGCCCAATTTTGTCACTCTATGCTCCTTTTGGGGGCATATTCATCTTCTCTGAAGGTTTTAATTCCCATGTGTGGCAATAATTCCCAATATCTGACTGTCTCCTGCACACCTCCACTTGGAATATTCACAACAACACTTGCCTTCCCTTCCATCCTTACCTCTGTGAAAGGCAGGCCCATGCACCCACAGCCTGGCACAGCCCAGAGTAGCCCATTACACGTGCCCTTCCTGAATCCTCACACACCTCCAAGGCCTGGTACAGATGGTTTTATCTTCTCACTCTACCTGCAACCCATCCACTGCAATCAGTTCCTTTGCCTCTTACTTAGTTGAGATCACCCAGTATCTGTTTCCTGCTTTGTTATAACCACTCCAGTTGGTTTGCCTGTTTTCTGGCCAACTACTTACACTGTGCCAGCCAACAAGGAGTAGAGAAATGGAGTGGATGGCATCTTTGCTGGCTTCCACAAAAACACAGCTTGGTAGGAATGAGGTTCAGTTTGGGAAGTCACTGCAGAATACAGAAGCACAAACTGAGAATTCTCTCCTGATTCAAAGCTCAATCTATACAGAGATGGGGTTGGGTCAATGAAATAATGAGCAACAAATTGGGACGCAAGTGCTGTTCAAGAAACAGTGGGCATCAGAGTGTTTCAGAGAAGGGAGAGAACAAAATGACAGGATAGAACTTTTTACACAAAATTTATGGACCAGTGAGTAGGAGGTTTGCTATAGCAGTCACTCAACAAACACTAACCACATATTAGTGCAAGGCTCTGCTTTAAGTAAGTTACAGATAAAGGAAAGAATCCTAAAATAATCCCTCTGTTCAAGAGTCAAACAGACTAGGGGCTGGGGATTTAGCTCAGTGACAAAGCGCCTGCCTGGCAAGCGCAAGGTCGTGAGTTTGGTTCCCGGTACCGGAGAAAAACCAAAAAAAAAAAAAAAAAAGAGTCAAACAGACTATACAATTGTGAGGTCCAATTCACTGTGAAAGTTACGAGTGAGAATTTGACTCTGAGCAGTTCTTGAATGGACATCCCACATTTGACTAAATTCAGGCTCCCTCTCTCCTAGGTGACTACTGCACATCTATCTTCTCAAACTGCCCTTCGCATTCCCTCCCCAACCCTCTCCCAGCTGGTGAATCCGGTCCCCATGTCACTGGGACAATGCGAGCAAGCAGAAGAGGACCCCAGGAGCTCCCAGCACCACCGCTCCCACCCCTGCATTGCTGCCAGCTTCCCAGGCCTACAGAAGAACCACTTCTGTGCTCTTTGCCAAGGCCACGCCCTCTGCTTGTGCACCAGGATGTCCCTCCAGCAACTGTCCCCATCTTTTCTGACCTTTGGGTAGATAAGCCCAAGCCCTTCATGAGCTGTGCTTGGATACCTCCCGGTCACTTGCTGGCCTCTTTCCAGAGACTGGGGAGAATGGCATGTACTCCAACACTATGTGTTACAAAACAAAATAGTTTGCTGTGAGAAACAATGGTGCAAGCCCTCCCGCACTCACTGTGCTGGCTCACAACCACTCCTCATCCTGCGTTCCCATCTCACCAGACTGCATCCCCAACCTGGCATTCCTGGTCCTCCTTCTTAGCTTTCTTTCCCTGGCAGCACAACGTTCCCTCTGAAGCACTAGATACCTAGTTTACTGGCTTTTGGATTTGTCTGTATCACTGGTATACAAGCTCCACAAGGGCAAGGATTCTGCATATTTTTCCATTTCATTCATTGCTTTCCTTTAACACTCCATAATATTTATTGAATCAATGAGATCCCAGTCCTGCCATTTTGATTTCTGTGAATCTGGGAAAATAATTTACCCTCTCTGAATCTCACTCTTATCATTTTTAAGATGGAGATGCTGATGGTACTTCCTTTATGGGATTGTGATGAGGATTATATGACAGAAAGGATTAAATATTTTAGTGCACATTCTAGTATAAAGTGTTGAACAAACAGTACCTGCTCTATAATTAGAGCATTATTATATTTACATCAAAGTTTATCTTAATAAAGTCTGTCCAACCACAAATTAATATTGGTTTGGGAATTTAGCAGACTGGCAACAAAAAGAAAAATAAATGCTTTATATTTGCTTTCCTTCTATTAGTAAATATTCCATTTAAAACCCAGCTGACTTTAAAAATACTGAACATACAACTGGTGGTGTTAATGTCTCAACCTCAGCCCCATAGACTGACCACTAGGCCTCACTTCTCCCATGACTGTGCTCTTTTCCCCCGCTTCTCCTTCCCCTCTGTGACCACAAATTCAGCTACTGCTCCAATCCCCAGCCCCACAGCTCCACAGTTCCAGGGTTGGGGTCCCTATTAGCATAAAGTGAATAGAAAAGGAAATGTATCCCTATGTGCCTTTATTTTCCTTCAGTGTTTCAAGAGAAAAAGAGAAGGTAGGGTCCCTTTGCCATTGTAGTTGGGATTAAAAAAATCCTTAAAAATTTTAAGTTGGAGCTGAGTGTATCTTCCTACAACAACCATGTTATAGATAGTCACTCAGTTCTATGGTCTTATTATTAAGGCAGAATACCTCAGCTAAAATCTCTGGGCTGGTCTGGGAACCTAACCAGTAAGTGTGACATGGTTTCAATGAAAAAATGTGTCACAATTCCCAGTGATGAGTTTATACACATCGTCCATGGTCAAGACTACAATCCATCAGAAAGCGGAGGGCTGACTCCTCCTCTGCAGGTCTGACAGTTTCACAAAGGCATCACTGAGGTCTTGGGAAGTAGAGACATCAAGCTTCAGAGTTTTCTGTTTGGCAGTCGGGTGCTACTTCATTCCTGTTCAGATGGGACACCTGATCCCAGTTCTAACACCAGGAAATGTGGCAGCCCACTTCAGAGAAGGCTGTGAGCCCCAGCGCCTGGTTATGATCATGCTTTAGTTCCCTTCTTTCCCTTTTCACTTTCCAATAGCCACTCCTTTGACTTGGCCTTGTTCATCTTCCTAGGAGTTTATTTTTAACATGCCTCTATTTTTTTTAAATGCAAAATTTTGCCAACAGAAACCAGAAAAGTCACTGCTCATTTCTTCTGGCCGACACACCTTATGTGAAAATGGCAGTTTCCCCCGAGGAGGAAACTTTTCCATCCAAAAAGCCTTTCAGGTTCCAACAATCTGGGCCAAACTGTGAAAGTCACCAGCTTTGCTTACCATCGTGGAGACACTTTGGCAATCCGGCTACCGTGCAGTCAGCAGGGAGACTGCCTGATATGAGTTAACCAGCCCACATTTTCAGTTTGTTTCCTTGTAGTCATTATCCAAAATACACAAGCAGGAGCGGCTCACCTAACTGGAATGGCTTACGTTACCAATTATGGTTAACCGTAAAGCACATAACCAAAAAGACAGCTCAGATTTACTGTCGGGAAGAAATCTGTGCCTGAAGTAGTCCACATGTTGGGCAGAAAACTGCATGTCCCTGGCTCACAATGGCGTTTCTCTCTCCCCACACCACCTGCTTTCTTCACTTGCATTTTATTCCCATGCCTTTTCTAGGACAATAGGCTGTTGCTTTCTAGTCATCACGTCTTCTTGGATCAAACCCTTCTCTTCTACCATCTCCAGCTCTTTAGCTGCAGGGATAAAACCTGATACAGAGCTTCCCTGTCATCACTGGAATCCTGAGGGGTCGCTGGAGCAAAATAACCTGGGCGACAGAACCAAGAGAAGCAAATGGATCAGGTTTATCTTAGTTTGGTCCTGGGGAGACTCCTTTCCTTCTCTACACCTTTCTTTAAAGTCTGATAAGAGTCTGCTTCTTGAGACGTGTCACGAAAGAATATTACCAGAATAGGCTAATATGTATAAACACCTGGAGTACTTTCAGAAATGTGTTTAGTGCTCTTTGGACATATTACTTTTAAAAAGTGAATCTTTATGGGCTACCTTCCCCATTTAGTTATGGAAGTGGGTTACTTTGCAAGACACTGACTGACGGGTAGTTTCTGGAGTAGAGTGAACTTTGATTACCCAGTGTTTAGCTAAATCTTCTTAAATAAATGCTGAAGAGGAATAACGCATTTTGATATGAAGTTGTGGAAATATACACAAAAGGAAGGTAACGTCTAATGTGTATTCTTCCAATTCCCTATGATAGTGAAAGTAATCTGGAACGAGGGTACAAATTAACAACTATCTGAACAATCAAAAACTGAACAAATTAAGAATTTTCTTTTGAAATAACTGCTTTAGCATCATGAGCACGGTGAACTCTTTGGTAATTTCCAAGAAATACCTTCTGTTTCAGTAATAATTTGTTGCTTTACCTGTCAGAGATATACTGTAACCGAGACAAAATAATATATTGGGGGGAAAAAAAGAGGCAATGACGCTCAAGAGCAGTACAACACCACTTATGAGCAAAGTCTGAAAAAACATTAGTTTTAGGCTGAAGAAGGCAAAACAGTAAAACTGGCAGAGCAATCTCAGTGCAGTGTGGTGCGCTGCATTTTTATTATCTTCACAAGTTTTATGAAATCAACTAGAAACTCTATCTAGAGCCCACAGGATCTGAAGAACACTAAGGCTACTGTCAGTAGGACATAGGTCTGCTGTTTAACGAGTCAGTGTCCCCACCTCGCTGACCGGCCACGTAGTTATTACATCATTTAAAGCAGGTGAGCTGTTGTCCCGCACCAGCTACCAGAATTTTATGATTCATGGATTTCAACATGCAAAGAAAATAAAGCTGTATCCTCTGCAAACATCTGTCCATTCTCTTCGCTTAGCACGTGAAGCGTTGTCCATGTGGGCCTGTTTTGTTGTTCAATGCGCATGCTCAGTTTTTAAAGGGATGTATGTGCGCGCCAGGCGACTCACCCCAACTCCTTTTTCCAAAGATTAAAAAAAATTAGAAAAATCAGTAAAAATAAGGCGTAGAAATTAGTTCAAAAATCTGTTTACTACCTAGCTTTTGTCTGCTTGTATAGGTTTACTGCTCTAGTACTGACCATTTAACTGCCTAATTTATAAAATCTGACCATGGCTCTAAGGCCTAGTGGTACATGTACTTCCTTCTGTCTCCTGTATCAATCAATATGAGCACACTAGGGGAAAAGGTGAACTGCAAACCTCTTTTCACACCAAAGTTTGCCGGTGTGTGTGTGTGGGTGCTTGCTTCTATGGGGGATGTGTAAAGGTTAGTGCGAAAGATGCCATCTCTGGGCTGTGCGCTTGGAAGCAACCCAACTTCTGGGGACTACAAGCAGGACAGCTTTTCCTTGGGTAGTGAGGGACGAAGTTCTGCCAGAAACCTTAATGACACGAATCCTGACTGTTCTGACAGTCACACGGGGCATTTTCCAAAGGCTCAGCCCGGAGCCGGCGGCCGGGGCGGGGCGGAGCCGTGGGGAGGGGCTTTCCGGACTGTGTCCCCAGGACCACGCCGGTCGCCCCAGCGGAGTGTGCGCTGCGCCTTTCCCCGCCGGTCCCGCGACCGCGGACCGAGGTGGACACGCGCCAGCTCGGGCGGCTGCAGCCTGCCGGGTCTGATGAACTCACACCCGCCCCGTGATCGTCTGAGGACAGGTACGGGCTTGGCCTGTCCAGGCCTGCTGCGGGTGCGAGTCGCAGTTCAGCAGGCTGCAGACAGAACTGCGTCCCAGGAGACCCAGCCCAGCCCCGCCAGCCTCCCCAGCGCGCCCCCTGCCGTCCCCAGCGCGGGAGCCAAAGTCCCAAGCCCCGGCCAGCCTCCAGGGTGTCCAGCTCCTCTCTGGACCAGCCACCATTCAGGACAGGGCCCCCCTCGGGGCTAAACAAGGCAAAGGGCGGGAAGCCCCCGGCCGGGCGCACGCATCGCCGCGGAGAGGACCGCACCGGGGCTCGCAGACTGGCGCTCCGCTAACAAAGGGGGAGTGCGGGGACTGCAGCGACGGCGCCGGGGCCACACACCCGCCCGCCCGGGGGGCACCTACTCCGTGCGGGGCACCGCGCCCCACGTTCCGGGCAAACGTCCGGGGAAGGGCGCCGAGGTGGGCGAGCCCGGGGGAGGAGGCGCGGCTCGGCCGGTGGACCCTCCCCCGCCAGCTGTTGCGGGATGAGGTCATCGCCCCCTTTCCGGGCCGAGAGGGGCCACGGCGAGGCGTGGGGCCGCGCACAGAAGCACAGGGGTGGGAGGATCGTGCGCGGCGGCAGAGCATCCTCTGCGGCCCCGGCGCTGCTAAAATGATGCCGAAAGTTCCCAACCCGAGCTCCGCTTTCCCAGGGCTGCGCCCGCAGCGGGCGGGTGGGGGCTCGGCGCGGTCGGCGGGTCCGGGAGTCCCGCTCGGTGCCCCCGTTCCGCTCCCCACGCGCCCCGCTCGCCCGCAGCCGCGCTGACTCAGAGCCTCCCGCCCGCCGGCGCCGGGTGCCCGCGTCTACCTCGCTCTCGGGGCCGCGCCCCGCCAGCTGCTCGCGATCCCGCGGTCCGGCTCCGGGGCTGCGCGGCCGCCCAGGTACCGCGCTTTATAGCGAGCGCGGGTGACTCAGGGAGACTCGACGCCGCGCCGCGGCCCGCCACCTTCAAAATAAGAGTCCGCGCCGGGCCAGCAGAGCAGGGGAGGCGTGGCTCGGCCTGGGAAGCAGCCCCCAGGTTAGGGTCCCCCGCCCCTTCTCCAAACTCGGTCCCGCCCTTTGCATCCTTCGGTCGCACGCCCCTTCCTGGAGGCAGTCAAGTTGTACAGCTCGGGCTTCCCCAGACCTTTCGGGAAAAATGGACAACAGGGAAAAAGTTTGAACTTTTATAAGCCAATAGAGATGTTGGCTGCATGTCACCAATAATGTTATCTTTTACAGACTAAAAAGAGGTGCGTGTAATCCTAGCCCTCGCGAGGCTGAGGCAGGAGGATTACTGCGAGCTGGAGGCCAGCCTGGGCTACATAGTGAGTTCAAGGCCAGCCTGAACTGCATAGAGAAAACCTGTCTCCAAGACATACACACACACACACACACACACACACACACACACACACAGAGGTGCATGCACTATAAATGAGACCCCGGGGCATGGTCGGAGAAAGGAATGAAACGTTTCTCATAAAACGGGAGCAGCATTAAAGAATAAAACCGTGGGGCTGGTAGTGGGGCGGGGCCAACCCTTGCCTGCTTGCAGGTCTGCTAAAATGGTTATAGAGCACAAGTCAGGTCAAGCCTGGGGTGGTGGCCCAGGTCTGTAATCCTAGCACTCCGGGAGGCTGAGACAGGAGGATTGAGTCGAGCTAACACAGCTCAGCAATTTAGCAAGATCCGGTCTCAAAACAAACAATGAAAAAAGGGCTGGGATGCAGCTTAGTTAGAAGGCTCTTGGGTTAATCTCCAGGACCCTCTCCCTTTGAAAGAAAAAGAGAAAGAACAGGAGACTTATCTGAGGAAGAAAAAGGATAATTTCTTGACTTCCATTAATCACTTTACTCTGTTCTGCGTGACAGCGAGTGAGGAGGCCTTGGGCTAAGAGGTGCCTTGCTCTACTCGCATTTAGCAGCATTTGGGAAGCAGCCCCTCCCCGGTCACCCTTGTCTGCCATAAACTACTCAACGCCCCGGAGTCACTTGTTCTAAAACTTCTACACGGGAGTGTCCCTAGAAATGTTTGTGAAAGACAAAATGGGCTCGTAAATTCCAGAGTTCATTTCTTTATGTACAAAGCGTCACAGAGTATGGACTCAGCTCTAAATCCAGATCACCAACTTTTCCTTTTCCTTTCGCTGGCTCAGCTCAGAATAGCCTGGCTCTGTGTCTACAGTAATCCTCTGGAAGCTGGCTTAGCACACTGTATTTGTTTGGGGGAGGAGCGCTCATAACTTGTATTTTTTTCACTTTTTTTTTTTATTAGTACATGTTTGCAGTACATAATGATTGCATTCTTTGTGGGGAGTTGGTACACCATAACACATCTTAATTACTTGTTTTAAAATGCCTTTCTCTCCCCCTCCCTCCCTTCCCCTCTGTCTCCTGCTTCTCTTTCCATTTGAGAAAGATCTATTTCCCTACTTCTTATTATGTATTTTCTGATTTACTCTTTTTTAAAAAAAAAGATTCTGACTTTGTCATATAAGAGAAACCACGCAATATTTAAACTTGCATATCTGGTTTATTTCACTTAACGTCATGGTCTCAAGGTGCACCCATTTTCCTACAGATGACTCAAGTTTATCCATCTTTGTGTCAGAATAGTACCCCACTGTGTCTAAGTAGCACATCTTATCATTTATTCATCTGTTGATGTACACATAGGCTGCTTCTGAGATTTACCTGCTATGAACTGTGTTGCTATAAACACGGGGATGCATATATCACTATAATATGATGTCTTTAACTCTTTGGAGAAGATACCTAGAAGAGGAAGAGCTGAACTGAATAGAATTTGTAGTTTTAGTGTTTTGAGGAAGCTCCATACTGATTTCCACAGTGGCTGTACTAATTTACCTTCCTATCAACGATGTAGAAGGGTTTGTTTTTCCTCCGGTAGCCCTGCCAGCATTTGTTATTTTTCGATTCCTTGATATAGCCATTTTTTCTGGAGTAAGTTGGAATCTCAATGTTATTTTAATTTGCACTGCTCTAACAGCCAGCAGTGTTGGACATTTCTCCATGTATTCATTGGCCATTTGTATTTCTTCTTCTGAGAAGTGTCTGTTCATTCTAGTTGCCCATTTTTTAATCCGGTCTTTTATTTGGAGGGTCTAATTTATTTTTAGCACTTATATTCTAGATTTTAGTCTTCTGCCTAAGGAATAGTTGGCAATTTTTTTTCCCATTCTGTAGATTATCTTTTCATTCCCTTTGGTATTTTCTCTCTGGTGTGTATCAGTTATTTGTGCCTTGTTTCTCCTGCCAGAGTGTGTGTTCCCTAACTACTTGGATCAAATCTTTTACACAAAATAAGCTGTCAAGGGACTGACTGAATGAAAATACCTAACATTTGTTGAACTTAGTATTACAGCAGGCCATTTCTGTAAAGTGGCCAGCAAGTAAAGGCCAATAAAGGTCAACTGGATTTGAACACCAATTAGAACACTAGTTTACATGATCTAGTAATTTTATCCCTATCTTCATTATTGATATTAACAGTAGAGTTTCTATGTTCACAGTCCTAGGGCAAATTCATATTTTTATTCTCTCTCAGCCACCCCTAGAAAGATAGAAATATCATCACTGATTTTGGATGAAAACTGAAGTCTGTAAAATAGTCAAGCAACAAGCCAAAAGCCAATGTGTTCTTGTAATTGTACTCCTAGAGATAAATGCTGTTAATTTTCTACAGTATACTTTTCCAGACATTTGTGTATGTTTAAATACATATTTAGAACACAGATTAGATCATTGTTTATATATAATTCTAGAACCTGGTTTTTAAAAACTCCTAACAAGTACTGCAATCATCTTCCTAGGTGTGAGACAGGGTATTATCACCTTCAGTTTCCGAGAGGAGAATAATCCAGAGCTTCTATTGGCCTGAGGGAAAATGTTTCAGAAAGTGAAAAGTCCAACATTCCACTATTTAATTTTGCCCTTCCTTGAATTGTAGCTTGCTTGTTCCCATGTCAAATCGCCATGAGGGGCAGCAGTAATGGCATTACTTGGCCTGTCACAGTGTGTTCTGACCGACTGCAGTGTGACACTGAAGTCAGCTCTAAAATGAGAGCTAGGACTGATGGTTTGTGTCATTAACTGTGCAGCTCTGAGGCTTTCTTATTTCCACAATAATGGGATTGATTCAGCTGATGAGTTTTTAAATCACAGTTCTTCAATTTGTGATTTGATGATATAAGCACAGACAACAAAAAACAGATAAGCATCTCTAATTGTTAGCATCTCTAATATCTACCAGCCGTGGGAGGGGTTGTAGTGCGGAATAGAGATTGAGGATTGATTAAGCCCGAATTCGTTCTTTACTCTTAAGAGGCAGCATGACGACCCATTACCTCTGCCTCCCTGGGGCTGCCTTATTCTTACTGGAGGGCCTAGCAAGGAAGCATTGATGTGGAACAGCTTTCATTTTCCAGTGCTGAAATCCAAGAAGATTTCAGGCAATGATGGGAAACACTGACTACTTTAATGTCCTCAACTTTAAGGTTTTTATACATGAAGTGTGGGAGGTATGGATATATTTTATCTATCACCTTGGACAAGCCCCAGAATTGCTAAAACGAGGACAGTAGAAGCAATGGTGAGAATTTCTGCCAAGTTTGAGAAAAAGGGTACTCTGTCTTGCTCTGTGAAGTGCAGATTCTGACCTGCACCCACCTCTTTAGATCTTTTTTTCTTCATTCCCCCTTAAGTAAAATTTAAGTCTTCTGTGGCTAAGAAGGTAAGATGAAAGGGAGAGAGGAAAATACACAATGAAATTTTATTTCCCCTGAGCTGCCTTTGAGGGATTTTTTCTGGCCTCAGAGGAAGTATTTGACCAAGTGTCCACTTTAGGACTTCTCTTGGCACAGTTTGGCTTACAGATTTATGGCTTTAAATACATTTAATTTGGGATAAAGCATTTGGCTCAATTTTCCAATTGCTTGGAGGAGAAGTGTGGAGTAGGTGAAGGTAAACATTTAGGTTATTTGATCATTCTCTCTTTCACATTTTCACAAATGGAAACTTTGAAATATAGATATTTAAAAACTAAAAGAACAACAAATAAGAACTAAAGATAATGGTATTCATTCAACAAAGAGGATCTCGGCAGTGAAGCCTCACTGCAGATCACATACACCTACGTAAGCCTGTAGCCATGTATGTGTGTACATCTATTGTACGTACTTATGTATGTAAGACTCATGGCAGATATTATGATCATCTATCTTATAAATACTCAGCTAGGTAATATTTTATAAAGTGGATATTATTAATAAGTCAAATAAATGTCTTTTAATGAACATCCATTAGAAGAACTGCTACCAGCAATCTATGTGTCCTAACCATGATTTTTTAATTTGAAAATGAAAGTCAAAATCTGCATTTTCATTCTTCCTACTTACATGAAGCAGCAAAAGACTGCTATTATGTTTTCAGGCATTTTGTTAAAAATAATACTTTATTATTTATAAAATATTTTAATTGATATTTTCTTGGATTTTTGGCTTCTGGGTTAGCATGCTTTCTGTAATGAAACCTTTCTATGCATTTCTTCAGTGTGATCAAAGGTTTGTAAAGCAGATATTCTGATAGCAATGCAGCATCAGGGTCTATTTCCATTCACATCTGGTGTTTTGATATTGTTTTTAATTTTTGTTGGTTTGGCTCTTGGTGTATTTTCAAGAATTACAAAATCTTGGCTCAAGGGCCCATTAGTTCTTTTGTAGATACTACCTTTGCAAGAGCTGCCAATCACCAGCAAAGAAGAAGAAGACTAAGAAAATAGTATCTTTTGACATTGGTTCTAACTAATATTATTTTTAAGAATTGTTTCTAGGGTAGAATGCTCAAGATCAGCTTTTATCCCACTCATTAAAAAAACAAGCACCTCAAAAAAGTCTTGGACCATTTGGAATTTGGATTTGTAACATTTTATATATAAACATTTATAAACCTACATTTCATAGGAATTACATTTGTTTCCACATTAACAACTACACATTATTTTAACAAAAAGAAAAAAAATTTAAAAATAAAAATGCGGGCTTTCTAAAGAGACTAAGCCCTGTGCATTATTTGATCTTGAATACAGACTTTGGGGGAGGAGGTCAAGGGCAAACCTCCAAGGACAATTCATACTTTCAACGTAAAAACAAGTTAATGTACTCCATTGGCCAAGATAACTTTCTGGCTCTTTGGTTTGTACATAACTTTTTATGAAGAATAAGGAGAAAAGATAAGAGGGGAGGTGGGGCTGTTTGTAATTGTGCAGCTGTGACTGGAACCTAGAGGACATAATTACTGTGTCAGAGGGAGCAAGACAGGCAGAAGGTCTGCAATTGTGGAATGTCAAGAGAGAGCATGCCCTGGTAAACAAAAGGACAGATTGAGTTAGGAGACCAAAGTAACCTTGAACTCCCGAAAACAACCCCAGGGAGCTCAAGAAATCAGAGGCAGAAGGGGCCTGACTGAAGAGATTGTCTAGGGGATGTCCTAAATGGGCTTGGGCTTTGGAACTAGACAGAGTGGGGTCAGTCATAGGCTGTTTCCATGGCTTTGAAATGTTTAGAGATCTGTTTTCTCATTAGCAAAGTGAGGGTAAAGGCACTGACCCTGGACTCTGCTGAAAAGACAGAGCTGCTGCCAGTTCTGTGCTAACATGATGTGTGTGTTACACACTGGGTGGGAGGTGGCGGGGGTTTGGTCTTCTTTTCCTTTCTAATCTCGGAATTTTTTTGAGTGTTTAAAAAATAATAATCTGAACTTCACTTGAGCTGGCACTGTGTCAGCACTTTCTACTCATTCTCCCGATTTATCTGACCATGCAAACCATGAGGAAAATCACCGCTGTCATCATCCTTCCTAGGACAGGAGGACCGAGTACAGGAGGACAGGTAATTTACCTAAGGACATAGTGCTGCTGAGCAGGGGAACTGCGATGTTAATCATGGACTCCAGAGCCCAAACTCTAAGGAACAGAGCTTTGGAGTAAAAAGTGCTTATGTATGGAAAATTCATTAACCACCCAGGACCCTAAGATCTCTGTTAACAAATCAGTAATTCACCCTCACAGAGCTGGATTGTGAACAGTGATGTGTGCTTGGCCTGAAATAGTTAAGCAGCTTCTAGATACATCCGGCTTGATTCACAGGAGGGCCTGACTCATTACTGAGTATCTTTTCCAAATCAAATGAGCTCTGCTGGCTGTGATCATACACAGATTCCACATGGATTACTGAAGAAGCTCAGTTATAAGTAGGAATTTGCCTTTGTACATGTCTCTCCTGAGTAAATGATAAAATATGTTTAACTTTACCCTACATAAGAAAAACCTTAAGCTGTGTCTTAATGAGTAGTAATAGAAATCTAATGAGTAGTAATAGAAATCTATAGTAATAGAAATCTAATGAGTAGTAATAGACAAATATGGTATAATAAGTTAGGAATACACAGTCTGTATCAGTCCCAAAGGCAATTCATGAATCATGGGTGAGATAATGTATAAGGTTCTTAGTTGATTCTCTTACAACAGTGACTTCTGGGACACCACACAAGGAATCTATGCTATACTTCATAGAGACTCTTTTGGGCACTTGGAAAATAACCAGATCTGCCACAGTGCCATTGCTGCTCTCAGAAATAGAGAAACAAAAAAATCATCTTGTAAAAGAGCTGCCATAGGTGTTGCCTATGTTTTTCAGAATGAAGTAAATGCAGAGGAAACCATGAACTCCAGCAGGCTCTATAAAGAAGTTATGTTTCTAGAAAGGAAGGAATCAGCCTCTTTTCCCTGACTTGGATAAACCTGTCATCTCCCCCATATGCTTGTATTGGAAGTTTAATCCCTACGGAAGTAGTGTTGGGGCATATGAAGAAGTGATTAGGCTACGAGGTGGGGTAGATGCTTTAGTGTTATCACCTTATCACCAGAGTGGGTTCTTGATAAGAAGATGAGTTTTGGGATGCCTCCCTCCTCTTTCTCTCCTTCTCCCCCGCCCCGGGGGGGCTTGCTTCTACCTTCACCCCAGGATGTGCCAGCAAGAAGGTTTTGCCAAATGATATTCCCTTGACCTCGGACTGTCCAGCCTCCATGAACATGAGAAATATATTTCTTTTCTTTGTAAATGACAAGGAGGTCTGTGGTATTCTGTTATAACACCACAAAATGAACTAAAATACCTTTCCTCTCCCACATCCTTCACATCTTAAGCTTGAGACTCCATGCTTTTGAATGAATGAACTAATCCTCTGGGTCAAAGTAATGAGATTATGTTATCTAAAGTACTTTGTTTTTCTCATCAAGGAAATAACATAGTAATTTACCTGTGTGTTAAAGGTTTCTAGCAAAGGAATCCAACTGCTAAGCTAATTGTTGAGATTGTTTTGTAGCTTGTACCTTTAACAAGATAAAGGTTCAAACCTAGATTCCATTATAGAAAGGAAATGAGAAATGAGAGGATGGGGGAAGTAAAATATTCTAATTAAATTTTCTTTAAAAATAGAAATGTAATGGATACACTTCAAGTTGAAAAACTCCCTTAATGTAGATCATAAGGCCAATAGGAAGAAATATTTAGTAACATTATCAGTTAAAGGAATAAACCTATTTTATGTGACTGACAATTAAAACAATCAAATTAATAATATTGTTACTCCTGGTTACAGACCCATTAAGTGAGTTATACTAGGACTCTGTTGATAAAGTGGACTATTAGATTTTAAGAAAAGAAAACAAGAATTGTATAAGATTTGAATAAATATGAAAAATATTTTCATTATTCCAATTGTTATTATTCTTATATCAGAATTGTTATTATTTTTATATCAGTGTATCATATTTGTCTTTTTGTTTTTAGTAACTTTAGAATTAAAAGATTTTAAGGAAATTTGGTCAATTTCTAGAATATTATGAGATTCTTCAAATGAAATTTTGGCTCAACCTGATAAGTTCAAAGAAAAGGTAGGAGCCTATAAATATTTCCAAATTGCTATCTATTGTACAATATGTAATGAATTTTAATGGGATTTAGCTCAGAAACAGAGCTCAAGAGAGAAGATGAACTGAGGGAAATTGGAGTTTAGAACATTATTAAAATGTAACTTCTGTAGAGAGTTGACAAAGAAAGATTTGGAAAATAAAGTTTTCAATGCAAGAAAAAGAATTACCAGAAGCCATAAGCACACTAAATTGAGTCCCATTTCTTTGAAAAACAAGCTCTCTGCAAACATCTCATTTTTTCCAGAAAGCTTCATTAGAGATCAATTTATTCGCTGCAGGTATGTGCATGTGCTAGCCCATTGTTACAGGTAGGTCATTAGCTTATAGGTGGTGACATTATGATCCTAACTTCACTTGTGGGTGGTAAAGGAGGAGCTTGACATAACTTTGTCATTGTTCCCTTGTTTGTTTGTCTTCTTTATGATACTGAATGAAACTTTGTATCCCAGCAATGAATAAACAGGCCTGATAAAAATTACCCTTTCAAGTTGACTGCATTTTAGAGAATCCAAGTGGCCTATTCCCAGCATAGAAGAATTAATTTTGGATTCGGTTCTTGATCTCATGGTCATCACACTATGATCAAAAGGCCCTATGTGAGTGGGTCTTGTAGAACGTGCTAGTTGGGGGTTCTCACCAGCATGTCTAGGCCAAGTGGGGTTACTTAATCAGTGATCCTGAGCTACCCACTGCTCAGAGAGTAGCATCAAGAAAAGTAGAAGAAACAAATTAAATCCCTGAAGCACTTAAAAGTGTTTTTTATTACAATAGGGTAAAAGATAGATGAGGGGAGTTATGGTTTTATGAAATTTCTTTGTTCATAATCTTAGGCTGGGCCAACTTATTATTAGACATAGTAGGCATAGTGACAAGGGCCCAGGTACTTTTAGCAGCCCATAAACAATTTTTAATCATTTTTAAACTTACAGGAAAAAATGAATATAACAATATATTATAATGAACCCAGCATGGATTATGGTCATCTTTATATTAATATAATTATTATATATAATTCTACTATTTTTAGTGGACAAAGGAACTCAGAAAGACAAAGTGCCTGGGGCTCATGAAAGCCATAATAAAGCTCTAATCTTAGCTAGCTGATGTTTGTCTGAAACTTTGACACTTTCCTTCCATTAAGTGTAAAGACGAGCTACACTATCCATTTTCTATTCATGGCTGTGTTCTATGTGAAACTAAATCAGTAGGTGTCACATGTTCTTAAAAGAAAACATGGATTTGTATTCTGAAGCTCTTGATAATGGAAGAGAGAAGAAAAAAAATCAGCTGTTAACAACAGGTGCTTTGCAGTTGTTCATTCATTTGGACATTTCTTTTATGAGTTAATTACTCATAATTCCTTTGTGAACAATCTTCACATCTGGGAAAATAAAGCTGCCCACTGAAAGGGAGTTACTAGAGCGTAGGTGAAGCACAATAGTTAATTCATTTGGATACCCTTAAAAGGCTGAACAAAAATCCCTGAAGCACTTAGAAGTTCGGCTTCATGTCTAAAGAATGAGGTGGCATCGTCTGGAGGCTGTGACCTGGGGATCTGTGGCCTCAGTTCAGCACCTAGCTCCTGGTACTTCCTTGGGTCACCCACTCTCTTATTTACATAGACACCACCTTTCCCAGAGCACTCCGCCGGTCCAATAGCTTTGGGATCATCCGCAAAATGTTCTTTTATGAGCATTATGTGTGTAAAGATTTCTCTTTTCAATTTCAATTTGTTTGTGTCTCTAGATGGCAAAACAAATCCGAAGCTTGATTTATTAGTATCGTCTGTGTATTCATACTGTAAATACATCAAGAGATTCTACCAAATCCTGAGACTTTTTGGAAGTGAAGTCTCATCTGCTCTGTTGAAGGGCTGGATGGAATGATGTCTAAAATTCTCTGCAGCCGCATGGCACTGGGACCAGCCCACTCTGACTTGGTGGGCAGCTTCTGTAGCAACGCTTCAAATGGATGATGAAGTACTACACAGAGCAGTGATCTTTGACAACACTCCATTGAGAAGTGAGAAAAAAACACTAAAACTTTTCTTTGTACTTATAGTTATCTTATTTTTAAATTTTTCTACCTTTGTGCATATTTACATAATATGTATAATATGACACATATATAAACATATACCTGTATACACACATATACATAGATAAATACACAAGCTACAGGGATGAGCACCCCAAATCTTAAATCCTACGGCTGTAGGATAAGATAGAAAGTGCAGAGAACAAATATACCATCAATTGGTGGAAAACTGTTCAAGCTTCATTTTTAGCACTATTTGGTTTATACACATCTTGACATGAGGCAAATCAGTCTATTTTCTAATAGCTTGGGAAGACAGATAAATAAATAATGGGTTAAGGTAATTCCTTCACCATCCCTTTATGTAGCAGTTCAACTGAATACCGTAGATCAGTTGAAGACATGAAAAAACTTCAGCAGAGGCTGAGAGCTGAGACTCCACCCCCATCCTGTAAATTACAGAGTCTATTATTGTGAGTATAACTTTATGTCTGTTATGTTTGAAGCGTGGATATTGTGGATAAGCAGAGCATTCGACTTGCGAGATCTTTTTTCCTGTTGATGTGCTAGGACTCATACACAGACTCAGAGACACAAAGACAGCCATTACTTAACAACACTTACTGAGATCCTCATTTAAAAAGTAAAAGTAGCATCCGCAGATTCCTTTAAAGAGCGTATATATTTTAAAATGCACTTGTCTGTTCCCCAAATTTTAACCTATGCAGGTACTTTTTGGAGCTTTTCTGTAACTACCATTCTCACATTCAAACTGACAAATTACCACTTTGATACCACCGTTTTATTTTCTCAATTAAATGTGAAAGTCTTACTTGTACCTTTGGTCATTTTAAAGAGAATTATCATCTACTTGGGATACTTTAAATGTATTCTCAAATGCTTTCCTTGAACATCTACTGAAGTAACGCTATTTCATGTTGAGGGAGCGCATGATTTGGATCTGACTCTCATATGAATTTGAGCAAGTTGTTAAGTTTCTCTGTGTGTCATTTTCATTCTCTGGGAAAAAAAAAAACATGATCAATTTACTGCATACCTCATGCACTGCTGCAAGGATTGAATGAGCTGCTGAAAAGTATTTAGCCTAGTGTAACACAGCAGCACAGCTACTAAGCTAAGCAATTGCCATTGTTATTACCAAGAAACTTGGATATTGCCATCAAGTTGTTGAATTCTAAATACCTGACTGGATGAAACAAATCAATAAAGTATCACCTAAGTCATGAATATGGACTGTCTCAGGTTGCTTCAAATCCTTGATCTGTCCAAACAAGACTGATGGAGGTGCTAGGTAAGTTCACCACAGGAGGGAAACAAGAGAGAAGGGTAATAGAGAAAAATATTCATCAGGAATTCAAATCCTCTGCTCAACAAAGGAGATGGTTCTGCCATTAACTCACTGTGAGATCTTGCACAGTCCACTTAAATCCTGGGTCTTATTTCAAATTTCCTTTATAGGGGTTTTGATGTGATGACGTTTAACATTTTATAATTACTAAATAGTTATTGTAGAAATAATAACTTCATCATGGGAAATTCTACAGAAATTTTTTTGTTGTTATTGTTTTGTTTTTTTGCTTCTCCTGTGGGACTTTTGACACCTGGGTGTTTGTAAATAATTTGTGCATTAGTTTAAGTCTTAATTTTCCTGTGTAAAAGGAATAATTCAAATGAGCTGATTAATGTAAAATGTTTTCTAACCACTTGAAAGTCTTTATAGTTACTTCCTATAGTAGAGGAATCATCAAAACTCATGCATTTTAAGATTAAATGAATTGTGCATTTTCGGATGAAGTGAACTGTATTTTCTCTGCGAACAGAGATTAGGATTTTGAGTAACAGGGTCTGTTACCGAAAGCCTTCAGCATGTTGAGAGGGAAAGAGACCCTTGTGCTAGTATTCTGCATCTTCTCTTTAAATCAATGCTCAGGGGGTGGTGGACCAACTCTGCCTATCTCTGACTTCGTCACATTATCTGGAGCCATGACAGAAAGATGAGAGAAAAATGATCCTGGAGTCTTTGTAGTAACTTTTGTTTTTATTACTGTCTTTCAGAAAACTAAAACTAGCTTTGCTGTTTTCAAATAAGATGTATCAAGTCAGTAAGGAAAGCAGCTTTCTAAATCAGTCTGTTACAATATCATTAACAACACAAGTGGAGCTTTGTGACTTGTATTTGCTGTGTAGATAATTATGCTATGAATCCTTAAATTCTTTCTTACTCTGAAGATTGCCTCTTGCCTACTAGTTTTTTTATTCTTTTTTTAAAAATGTACTTCTTATGAAAACATTCAAATAATAAAGACAATAAGTCTACCACTACCTATAACACACTATTATTTTCTCTGTGTTTTTTTCCAGTTTTCGAAGTGTAGCTATACCAACAGTGTGCAGTTTTGCAAGGTAACTCTTGGCATTATTGCATCACTTGTCATATTATTTTTGCCTTCATAATTTTAATCAGTACTAGTCTTGGTTGCTGTATAATATTCCATTAGTTGAGACAAGAGAATTAACATTAACATTCTATAGTTTTGGCTTCCAGCTTTTTGTTGAAATTGTAAAAAATAAATTAGAACATTTTCAGGTGTCTACATTTTTTTTTCCTCTTTTGAATTACTTCCTGTGCAAATACTGGAAAGTATAATTTGGGGGTCAAATATTATTTTTATAATTCCTGACATTTATCACTAAAATTTTTTTTCTAATTGGGTCAGTCTGTGAGCATGGTCAGGGTGCAATTTGAACATTAAAGACTGTAAGTGTAAGACTGTGTCCCATTTTATTTTATTTTATTTTATTTTATGGTTTTTTTTCCCGGTACCGGAGATCGAACTCATGACCTTGGGCTTGCCGGGCAGGCGCAGCGCCTCTGAGCTAAGTCCCCAGCCCCTGTGTCCCATTTTAATTGGGAAAATTTTCAGTTTTTTTTTTTTTTTTGTAGTGATGATAAACATCTCCACATAAACCTGACATTTTCCAGAAGTGATTAAAGTTGCATATGAAATAGTTTGTATTTAGTTTTAAGGGGAGGGGTGTGCTTTGGGAACAGGCGTGCACCACATTCTAAAGTCTAAGTGCAGGAGTCAGTCCTTGTGTGCTTTTTTGCCCTCTAGTCAGTTCTCTGCTCAAACTCTTCTATTTACCATTAGGCAGTTTTCTAGTAGTTTCTGATTCCCGTGTGGGTGGTCCAGTTGTGTATCTGGCGTGGGAACAGAAGGGTAGATCTGTTCACTTGCCTCCCTTAAGGTTGCCAGCAATTCGCAGTCATTGAGGGTTTTAAAAATTCTGACCCAGGATCAAAGTCCCATATTTACTTAAGTAGAAGTGGACATAAATAGGTTCCTAGGTTAACAGAAAAATAATTTAGTGATGGCTTTGTGGCAGACACAAAGAAACAAACACAACAGCAAAAGCAAAAAAGGTAAATTATGTTTAGGAGTATTTTGAAATTCTTCTAAATTTCTGTTCCTTTCCACCCACACTACAAAGAAGTGTAGAAACAAAATCACTGTTAATCCACATTCTTAGCAGCAAATATTTACCACTTTGAGAATTCTCAAAGATGATATTGGGAAGAGCGTAGACGCTCACAGCTTCTCTGCGTATCTGCCTCGTTTTCTGTGTTCTTGACGATCTATCAACTAGGCACTGTCTGGACATTTAACTAATTTGTAAAGACTTACGCTTTTTCTTGAAGAATAGGATTACAATTCAGTGTTCAGGATTTATCTGAAAATGGCTTTCAAAACATTTTTGATGGTTTTTGAAAACTTTTATCCTCCTTAGTGAAAAGTTCCATGACTTATACAGAAAAAGGAAACTGTTATTCTAATGTACAACTTGTGTTTTTCTATGTTTAACAAGAGAATACTTATTATTTCAGCTGCTACTAAGAGAATTTCTAAATATCTCTGCAGACACATATCTACAAAAATAAAAAAGCAGCTGAAAGGGCTAGGTACAATTTGTATTTTTTACTCCCATTTAAAGACCAGAGATGCTATTTCCCTTGTAGATTTTATGTCAACGAGTAAAACAAAAGTCATGTGCCATTCTTCTTTGCTTATTTTGACTCTCTTGGCTTGTTCTGAATCTCTGACACACTTCTATTCTGAAATACTTCAGCACTGACTTCCTTATTTGGTTGCTAGAACTGCTCTTTGTCTTGTTCAAACATTCTGCTAAGCTTGCAGCCTGCCTTCACTCCCCCTCCCACCCTTTGCCCACAGCTCCCCCCTTTCTACACACACACACACACACACACACACACACACACACACACACAAGCACACGTGGTTGGCTTCAACAGGTCACTGACTCAGCCTTCCCTGTCGTTCACTAGCCAATCACCCATCACTTATGCCCATTTAAGGAGTACCTTTGGAAACCATAAGGGACCAGAGAGCTCCCAGCTCTTTGGAAAGACTGCTCCACTGCATACACTTGAAGTTACCACAAAGCATGCATTTCACACAGATGTCTTCCTCATATGGCAGGGCGTGTATTTAAAAAAAAAGAAGCAGCGGCAACAAAAGTGCACCCCCTCCCACGAAAGTCCCCTAAACAAAACACGCTGCTCGTTTAGTGATTACTTTATTCCTCAGTGTTCTGGCACTTAGGATTTGGCTGGCAGTG